AAACAAAGTTCATGAGGTGAGGCAAAAAAAAAAAAAAAAAAAGACAAAACCAACTGAGAATGAAACGAAAGCATGCAAACATTGAAGATCAACGGCAAGGGTACTTGTTTAACCGCAAATAGCCAAAAAGCACATCCTAATTCATGTAATATTAGCGTTTAAGAGGCGGGAAGGGTCTGAGAATCACTTGCCTCCAGTCATGGAATATATTTATTGCTTAATAGAGCCTTTGCCAATGGCAAGAGCTTCACTTCTTAGTGGTACATAGCATTACATTTATACTCAAACATAAGATTTAAAAATCACACACAATCAGCATTTACAATCATATAGATAGATAATTGCTAAAGATAGCATCAGATTGCCATGTGAATATTTTCTAGTATCCATTTACATAGAGAAGAAACTGCAGGGATATATGATAACTATGTACCACCAAATATTACCCCTCAGGCTTCTAGAACTTCTTCATTCATGAATTTTCTTGGCCTGCAAATAAGAAAAAATAATAAAAGAATAAATCATGAAATTATGTAAAATTATTATAAATGATTTTAATAATAAAAACCATTTCTTCAGTATGGACTGATTGAGATAGCTAATTCGAACACGAAATGTCCATTTTGTTGTTAATGAATGGAAATGGAAAAAATAAAAAATGTATAAAGTTGGGCACAGTGTACATTTCATGTTGGGACGGGGAGTTTTGTAACCGTTTGAAACTGAAAAAGTGGTTTTTATTTTTATAAATTAATGAAAATTATGTTAGAAATCTATTTAGAAAAACTTCATTCTAGAAACTAAAGATTTATGGCATAAACTTCTGAAAAATTAAGATTAACTTGACTTCAACTTCATTAGAAATGAAAGAATTTTAAAATTCAAGCTATATGTGGCCAAAAAAAAAAAAAAGAGAACCAAACCTAAAACAACATGTAGTAATTAAATCAAAACAAATTAGAAAAGGAATTGCTTCAAAGGTCATGGATGATGGTTACTCTTCCATTTCCTTCCCTGTTGCCGTGGGCGCTCTGTTGGTGAATAAAAGGCCTGCCACCGCCATGATGGTCCGGCGGAGGGATTAAATAGTGTGTCCTTGGATCACTGTAATCAATAGGATACACCTCCGTATCAATAGGATGCACCTCCGTATCAATAGGAT